TGACTCCCCCCCACCTCTCACTCAAGCCACCCTCCCCGCAACTGCGACCCTCCGCTCCTCGTCTCCCGACCTCCAATACAACCTCCCTAATTCCTATTCATTCCGTTCTTCTTCTTACCACGAATATCCACAGACATACACCATCCCCGCCTCCTCCCGCCATTCCATCTCCCACATCTCTCCCCCGTCCCCAGACAGCGTCAGCTCCGGTCCATCTACCCCCGCGGCCCCCTACGTATACGATAACGAGTATCGTAATGGCTACGAGAGTCCTCCTCCCGTTCTCGCCCCCATCAACGTGACAAGGACCGGTCGTGAGTTGGGCTCTGCCATCGCTCTGAACGATAGCAGTATCGGTGTCGAGAGACATTACATCCATGAGCCCCAGCCATATTACCAACAAGCTCAGGAGGATCAGTCAGAGGTCAGCCTTGGTCATGGCGCCTGGAAAGGAAACCTCAAGGGAGGTTTGGTCCAATAGACGACGATGTCTTTATAAATGTACTAACTTATTTTCTTTTCTTCTTGTCGCATTCACTATCTTTTCGTGATACCATTATGCGTCTCTGCAGAGCTGTAATTTTACTGTTACTGTATATAGTTATCATCCACCATGCTTTTCACTGTCTGCCTCACTCAAGTAGTACTACTATCAATTGACCTAGGTTCGGAGCAGGCCCGCTTTGTACCATGCCGCAACCTTGTATGCAGACCTTGCTGCAAAGTCATACTGGCTGGTCAAACTCATAACTTCTGCTTTGATATCTATCTATCTATATCTATATAATAATAGAGGTCGACAATGATGACATAAGATAGCGGACTCTGACTTTTCGGCCATTGCCATAACCCGGCAAATTCCAGCTGAGTTTGAACTTCGCCATGCTGCTAATGATGCAGCTTCAAGCCTGAACTCTTTCTTTTTTACCCTCTGCTCTGATCCACTCCCCCCTCACAGTGCATCAGCTCAGGCAATAATTATGGCCCTTTTACATATAATAAGAATTTTTAGAATCTCTCACAGTACTGTCTATAAATCTTTGATTGAAGCTCTTTGTTTCTAATTTTTAATTTTCTCTACAGTTGTCTCTGTCTTTTTCTTGCAGCATATTGCTACCCATTCCACCTCTCCATACCCTGTGATGTGTATACCATTTCTATTTTTTAAAAATCAATGCTCCCCACTTTCTTTTAATAGATCTCTATCTACTCCTATTAGAGAGACTGATCATTTTGATTTTTCAGCTCTAATTACACTAGAGTAGAATTGTCATGTAGAATAGGAGCAGGATCATATTCAGCATCTTCAGATGACTTCTCCCTCTAATCATCATAGTTGATTATCACATTCTGATTCTGATCCTAATATTGGATTTCCATGCTTTAATATATCATCTGCAACTCATATTTCATCTCAGTTAGACTATCCACATGAACGTTTCATGCCTGTAGCACCAGCTCTTCCTGTCTTTCCATCAGAGGTAGACATTATAAACAATTATGTTGTTATGATTTTTCCTATTTTCTTTTCTTTTTTCCTTCAAGAATGATCTCTATCTTTGCTTAGTCAGGGTGCTTAGACCAGCACTTAGGACCATGGGAATGCTTAGCTTAGCAACCCAGTCAGTCACCCTCCTATCACATTGCTGTGCGCTGTGAAGGGAGAGACAATACCTCTTTTGTCTCCAACTTGCAGTGCAATGACCACAGCACAACAGCAAGACAACAGCTTTTGTGGAGAGCCTGGCAATAGCAGGGGTAACAGCTCTATGACAGACAATATCTTTTGTGAACATTTATTTATAGCATGATAACAGAACAGTATATAAGTAGTATAGCTCTCACTGTAATACCCCAGCTTTAAGCTAAAGTTTATTTTTCACCATCCTATCTTAAGTGACTTGCAATGCCTTGACCACACACCTCTGTTAACACATCAGTGAACTCAGTTGGACATACCTGAAGTGTGAGATACTGAACTGTTTATCATATGTTAATAGTCACATGGAGTTTGGGCTTAACAATTAGCTCGAAGCTTCTTGCTTCCCTTTCTCAGGCCCAACTGTGCTGAGAAACTGAATGCCCCCTGCCTTAAATCCATCCAACCCGAACTTTACTCATGAGTTCTTCAAACTCTTGGCTTCTATCATTGGAACCTTGATTGGTTTATTGGTGATCATACAGCTGTGCCATGAATGCCAATCTATTATCGCCTGGGCCATCTGACACTACCAAGAATTCCAGCGCATCTGCACAATCTTCTGAAATGTCACACCAGACCTCCCCCTCCATGACATCCCTGCCTCTGTCCAAAACTCTGTCCGACACCCTGAAGAAACAGAAGACGAGCCTGGGTGCTTGACTGAAGAGCATTCTAGGGAAGAGGAGGAGCAGCAGTGGCAATATGAGTACTCCCCAAGACCCCCATCAGCAATTGTCTGAGACCTTGGAAACCCTTGAGCTACAGGGTTTCAATGACCCTGACCCAACACCCCCATCCCCTCCCCTGAGCGCAGCATCACTGCATCAAGAACCACCATCGCCCAGTCTGAAATTGGGCACCAGGCTAGAGACTCCTTGGATGCCATTCAGATGGCTCTAAGCACCAGAAGTACCAACAGATGTCAACTCTGAGATGCCTCATCAACAAGAAACAGTGGAAGGGGAATAAGGGTCAGTAGTTCTGACCTCTTCTTTGATGACACCAACAGAGATGAGGTCCGATACTGGCAAGCAGCATCAAGAGTGGCCAGTAGACTGGAACAAGAGCAAGGAGGAGTCTCATGCCTACCAAGGTATGATGCAGTGGTACTAAACCCAATATGGCCAACCCTCTGATCCCTCACCCAGTTCCTTGAAGGACAGACTTGGACTAACCGCCAGACCAGCCAGCAGTACATTCTGGACTGACTCCCTAATACCCCAGTCAGCACTGCTGACTCTGTTAAGCCCAAATTTCATGTGACTAGAAACATGTGATAAGCTAACAGAACCTCGCACTTTGGGTTATACTGTTAGGGTTCACTTGTGTGTGACTAGTATTGTGTTGTCAAGGCATGGCAGTTTGCTTGAGATAAGATGGTGAAGTAAAACTTTAGTTTGAGACTGGGGTATTACAGCGAGAACTAAGCTACTTAAATACTGTTCTGTTATTATGTTATAAATAACTGTTCACAAAAGATATTGTCTGCTGTAGAGCTATTTCCCCTACCATTGCCAGGCTCTCCACAAAAGCTATTGTCTTGCTGCGGAGCTGTAGTCATGCACTGCAATTTGAGGACAAAACGAGTATTGTCTCTCTCTTCACAGCACACAGCAGTGCAATAGGAGAAGGACCGACTGGGTTGCTGAGCTAAGTGTTCTCACAGTCCTAAGCGCTGGCCTAAGCGCCTTGACTAAGCAAAGATAGGGGTCATTTCTGAGGAAAAAGAGAAGAAAATAGAAGAAAAATAGGAAAAAATCATAACAGACTCTCTATTCTGGGAACCAGCCACTTCCACCAGTGAGCCTGACCCTTGGACTAGACCAATTGCCAGAGTTGTCCATGCCGACGACTACCACCATGGGGAGTCGGCACTCCTCAATGATGACCACTTATTATCATATGGGACAGACACCATCGCTGAAACTGATGATATCCTCATCCAGGAAAATAGGATACCATCAGACTGAGAAACAATCAGGGGTGACGACAAGCATATTGACCCCATCAGAGATCTCAAAAGGGTCCTCGACAGGCTGATTGCCAACCTCTTTCTTCGCCTCTGGTTCTATAGAAACTTCCACCGGTATCACAGAGCAGTGGCACCACCAGCAGAAGGAGAAGAGGAGCAGCCTGACTGGGAGCCTACTCCTCGATCCGGACCCGAGGATGCTGAGTCAAGTACTCAGCCTGGACCTACTCACCCTGGAAACCTTTGGCCAGCAAGGCAGTTCTCTTTTTGAGGGGACCATCAGCAAGAGGGCTAAAGGAGATGACAAGGCTGAGGAGGAGGACCAAGGCAGCTGGACAGGGGACCCCATCCTTGAATGGGGGAGTATCATCAGCATGACCATGCACCAGGAACAAGAGAAGAAACAACAAGAACAAGAGGTATGGGAGGAAGACTTTATTCAGCTATATCAAGAGCAGGTAGCCAAATTATAGAGGGATGATCACTGGCTATGATTATCTCTAGGGCACAGATATACCGCCGCTGACCATGTCGAGCGAGAGAAGATTTTACAGTATGCTATGACTGAGCACGCCATTTTTAATTTTAATCAGTGCTATTTACATTATCAGATGATGGTGATGCCACCATATCGACCGAGGTTCAGCAAACAAGAGGCACCAATGCCGTGGATCCCAAGTGTGATGCCGCCCAAAACAGCAAATACAGCATCCTCAATTTGAACAGCAACATCAAGATACTCGCTCACCACATCGGCTGTCTGCAGCACAGCATCTCGGCTAACCTGGTCTTATAGACAGCCAAGAACTTATCACCCAAATCCCTGGACCAGCACAGGAAGCCAACTATTAGGAGGATAGCCACTGCCCAATAAAGCAACCAGATCAGTCCCTATTGATTTGAAGATGGATGACCCTAAAGCAACAGCACAAGAGTGGACCATCAAAGATGGGCGAATCATCAAAAAAGAAGGACCGCTGATACCAAGAAGTCCTGTCACCAATGATAGATCTTTATATTTCTTTCCGGGGCCCCCAATAGATTGGGCTGATCCCCCCAGGGGGAAACCTCTGAATCCGATGTCACCTCTTGATCCAAAGGTATATATATTAAATGTCAGACCAATGCTGGGATGGGAGCCCCTTCCTTTTAAAGAGGCTTCAGATGATATTGACCGCTTCCTCATAGACTGTGACCAATATTTCCAAGTTTTTGTCTCATACTTCCTCCATGACATGTACAAGGTAAACTATGCCATGACCTACTTTGAAGACAAAGCAAAGGTATGATGGGTACTGCTGGCCCCCAACTTTTGGTTGACTACCCGACAGCATCACTGGTATTCTTTCTGGGCAGTACTAAAGCAGATGATCCATGATAAGTTCATAGACCCTGCAGTATGTGAAGTCCACAGGTCGAAGATGAAAGAATACAAGATGGGTGATAAGGCAGCACTGGACTACTTCGACAAACTGGAGTGACTCAGAAAACTTGCTGGGATTCAGAAGGATGTCGCTGACTCAGAGTGAATGGTTGAGTATATGAAGCGGGGAGTGCCGTCTCATTACCTCAAGACTATTTCAGATCTCAGCCATAGTGTGCCAATTGGCTATGATGATTGGAAGGCATGAATTATTCTAATGTGGCAGAAGCAACAACGACAGAAGGCAGAAGCAACAAACCTGTGGGACCAGCATAGGTACCAGAGACAGAGCTTGAAGCTCTCAACCTCTCATGCGATCACATCCACCAGGCCTGGCGGCTCAGCCTCAACTTCCCAGAATGATGGAAAGCAAACTGGTAAGGGCCCAAGTACCAGAATGAGTAAGCACATTGATGTGGATCGCCTCAAGAAGGAGGGAAAATGCTTCAATTGCAGCCGACCAGACTATATGGTGCAGAACTGCTTGAAGAAAAAGAACAAACGCATATGGGAGGATATCAGGGCACAGATTGCCGAATTGATAAAGAAGGTACAAGACCTCGGGGATGACAACAAACCTGAGAAGGAAAAAGATGGGGCCGAGCAGTAAGCGATTCTACTGCCTCAGCCAAGGACAAGAATAATGGGTCACATTCTGCTGGACAGACTGACATTTTACCTTCTATAGTATCACTCCCTATGCCTAAATTATGTGTGCATTCGAA